TGAGGATGTGTCTCTGGAGAGCATGGCAAGGGCTCAGGGCTCAGCCCAGCCCTGCTCACCTGCTGCAGGTCTGCACAGGGAACAGGGTCACTGGCGAGCACTTGATGCGGTTAGTTATTCAGAGATGGCAGCAGTGGGAGCTTCTTCCAGTGCGTCAGGTTGTTGCTGAGCATGGCCAGGGGAGAGCAGCGAATATCAGTGCCATGCCAACATATGGGGACATCCAGAAGATGGGTGCTGCACCCCTAGGCATGCAGCACCCCCAGGAGGAGAAAGGGAGAGCAGTGGTGCTGCACTCCCAGCATCCAGCCCTCTCCACTCCCTGCACCAGGAGGATGAGGGAGCTTCCAGCTCTCCCACACAGGCACCTTTCAAGCAGAAGCAGCCACATCCAGCCCCCCACCATCTGCCCCAAGGGCTGGGTGAGCACAGGAGCCCTTTGTCCTGGGCTCTGCTGCCTGCACTGCCATCAGCTCTCCCTGAGCAGGCTGCACCCTGCTCTCTGAGATGAGGCAGCCCTTCGACATGCCGAGTTCACTCCCCCAGGCCAAAACCCCAGGGACCTGCCCAGGGACACACACAGCTGTGAAGGACTGCGGGCACCCCAGGGGAGAAGTGCAGGTCCCACCTGTACTGCCTGGCTCTGTCCATGTACTCATGCTGCTCCATGCCCTGGGAATCTGCTGCCGACACGTCAATGATGTTGCTGCAGAGACACGAGACAGTGGCTCCCACTGGAAGCTCATTGCTCTCCCTGAGTTCCCTCCCCATCTCAGAGCGTCCTCTGACCAGGGCAGACAAAGTCCCGCACCCACCAGCACCACAAAACAAACATCTCAAGGCCAAACTCGCCCAATGAATGCTGCCAGCTGGCCACAAGTACACCAGGCTGGAGTGGCTGTTCGCCAGGAAGGAAATGCCAGGGACTGTTTGCCCACAGCTGGCCTGGGGCAGAGGGAGGCAGGCAGAGGCTGCAGGAAGCTGGGGGCTGGTCTGGGCTCTGGGGAGCTTGGCATGGAGCCACCTGGAGAAAAAAGAACCACTGGGAGGACAATGTCCTTGGCAGATATTCTGAGAGACCCTGTACCAGGCCCTGGGCTCACAGAGGACCTGGGCGCTTGCCCAGGGCCCTGCCACAGCCGCATTGTGCGGCTGGGGTGCCACAGCCGCACCCCACAGCAAAGCAGTGCTCAGAGCTGCTGTGGCCCTGCATGCTGGACACACACCAGTGGCCTCTAGCTCTCCAATGTCAGGCAGAGGAGCAGAAGGGCCCATGAGCATCCCAAAGCTCTCCCAGCCAGGTTGGACACAGCCCTCTCCCTACATTGCCCCTGCACACTTGAGGAAAAGCCTCCTCAACAGGGGATCCAGTGCTGCTGCCCCTCCAGCCACCCTCTCCACATCCCCAGGGACTCACTTTCTTATACAAACCCTGTCCCTACTTTCAGCCCAGCAGCCGAGGGGTTACCTCACATCTGGCGTCTTGTCTCTGTGTCCCCATACGGCTCAAAGCTGAGGGACAGGGCTGTCTGAGGACAGAGGGACATGGGGGGCTCTGCCACAGCTCCTCCCTTCCCCTCAGCATATACGGCTGATCACCGGGGCCCTCAGCCAGGCAGCCCCCCAGCTGCGTGCCTCACCCAGGGTCACCGCTGGTCCCCGAGGCGTGCTGCCTGCCCCATGGGCACGGCCTGAGGCTTACATGGCTGTTTTGGCAAGGATGGAGGACAGCATGACCTGCTCATCGGTGCGTGCTGACGGGAGGTTGTGGTAGCTCTGCTCCGCTCCGTTCAGCACCTTGCTGGGCGGGCTGGCTGCCGGCTCCAGCAGCCGCTTTGTCTCCTCCTCCTGAGTGAAAGGCAAGAGGAAAATCAGCCCTGGCTTCCCCACACCAGCAGCACTAACCCCATGGGATAAGACAAGTCTCACCCTTCCCTCACCAGCCAGGAGGGCTCCCTGTGCACCCCAGTGTAACCCAGAACAGCCTCAGCTCTGCCAGGCACCTCTTTGCCCAATTCTTTTGCTTTTTCCCAGGTGAAGCCCCATCAGCCACAAAGGCAGCAAGTGGCTGAAATCAGGCAGCACATTTGGAGTGGCCAATCCTGCAGGCAGGAGTCTGCAGCCAGCACCAACCTGCATGAAACCCTGCAGCTAATGAGGACCTACTGTGCCCCACCCCAGACTGGGCACCACGGAGAGCCCACCCTGGCATAGCAGGGGGCTCGCCTGAGCCAGGTGAACCCCACCTGCCAGAGCCCAGGGACCTAGCAGAGTCACTGCTAGGGAAAAGACAGACAACATGGAGTCTGGGGATGTGGGAGTGACAAGGTCCCACCTAGGAGGAAGGAGTGGACGTTCCTGGAGGATAACCCATCTTCTCCCTCATCTCCTCCATTTCTTTGGGCTCCAGCTGGTCTTCAGCTTGCTTCTCATTGAGCTTTACCAAGCAGTCAATCTGCTGCTGCATTGTGGTGATCTGAGCATCTGGGGAAGGGGGCAAGAAAGGGCTTGTTACCAAGTCTTCATGTCACCTGAAGCCCCCACAACAGCATTTCTGCACAGAAACTCTCTGAAGCAGGAGATCAGAGCCAGGCTACCAGTGCTACTGCTCAGCATAGGTGTTGCTTCGGTCATGGCTTTTGTTGCCCAGGATATATAAGGGAATATAAGATGGAAGAAGAACCTGGAGTCTCACTTGTGGCTTGGCAGGATGGACCATGCATGAGCAGAGTTGTGGTGGGGTCACAATAGAAAAGTCAGAGAAACAAGGGGAGATCTCTGCCCCACAGAGCCCTCCCTGAACCCCAGGATGTCCTGCTAGTGACTGACCCTTCTCCAGGACGAGCTTGTGATTCTCCACCACCTCCACCTTCAGCTCTTCCTGTTTCTTTTCTCAAAAGCCAGCTGCCCCTTCAGATACCACAGCTGAAACTGGGGGTCTGCATGAGGTCCATCATGGGTGAAGATGGAGTGCTGGGCAGGCTGCAGGGAGCTGGATTATCACAAACTGGATTATCCTGAGCCAGTGCAGGCCCCATGCAGCCAGACCCGCTCTGCTACCCCCATCTCTGGGGCAGGTTCTCCTGCGGCCTCTTGTCCCATTGCCAGGCACCACCAAGCAGAGCCTGGTCCATGCTCTCACCCCTCCCTGCAGGCATTGACAGACACTGATGAAGTAATCTCCTCTTGTAATCTCCTCTCAGTAATCTCCTCTTGAGGCTAAACAGCCCCAGCTCCCTCAGCCTTTCCTCATAAGAGAGATGCTCCAGTCCCCTCACCATCTCTGTAACCTCCACAGGACCCATTGCAGGAGCTCCCTGTCTCTCTCATCCTGAGGAGCTCAGATCTGTACACAGCACTCCCAGAAGTGTCTCACCAGGGCTGAGCAGCGGGGCAGGATCACCTCCTTTGACTTGCTGGCAATGCTATTCGCAACACATCCCATTGGTCCCATTGGCCTCCTTAGCCCATAGGGCACTGCTGGCTCAGGGACAGTTTGTTCTCCACCAGGACCCCGAGGCCCTTCTCCATAGAGCTGCTCCAGTAAGTCAGCCCCCAGCCTGTGCTGGTGCAATACTGAGAGTCCAGTCTGACTGTGATTTTCAGTAAGTGTCTGGATTAAATTGGTTTGGCTAAGGGAAGAAGAGGAATTTTTCAGGCCCCTTACTATAAGGCAGACATTGAAGGGCTGGAGGGTGTCCAGAGAAGGGTAAAAGAGCTGGAGAAGGGTCAAGAGGACAAGTGTAGTGAGGAATGGCTGAGGGAGCTGGGGGTGCTCAGCCTGGACCAAAGGAGGCTTGGGGGGATCTTCTTGCTCTCTACAAGGCTCTGACAGGAGGGTGGGCCTAGGTGGAGGTTAGGCTCTTCCATGTATAGGGGACAAGAGAAAATGTCCTCAGGTTGTGCCAGGGAGGTTTAGGATGGCCCCAGCTTCCTCAGCCTTTCCTCGTAAGAGAGATGCTTCTCCCTTCATCATCTCTGTAACCTCCACTGGAGCTCTCCAGGAGCTCCATGTCTCTTTTGGACTGAGGAGCCCAAAACTGGACACAGCACTCCAGATGTGCCTCACCAGGGCTGAGCAGAGGGGCAGGATCACTCCCTGACCTGCTGGCAATGCTCTTTCTAATCCATCCCTGGATCTCCATTGGCTTCGGCCACAAGGACACTGCTGGCTCAGGGATAGTCTGTTCTCCACCAGGACCCTCAGGTCCTTCTCAGAGATGCTTCTCTCACCCGACCCTTACCTTGGTACTGACAGACTTGCACATGGAGATCAATCCATCTTCTGACAACTAGAATCAGGGATTTTCTACTGCCCACTTACTCATAGGCTCATTTGCATACACAAGCAATGATGTTACTGACTTTTTCCCCTCCTGGACCACAAAATACTCAGACAAGCTCAAGTCCCTACTCATACATTTGTGGAGGGGCTTTGGAACAGCTGGAGGATATGTAAGAACAAAAAAACAAAACCAAAACCAAAACAAAACAAAACAAAAAAAAACCCCACCAAACCAAAAAACCCACAATTAAAACCAACCTGTCCTATGACACGCAGTTATCACTACACACAGGCCAATCAATAAACCTACTCTGAACTTTGGCTTATTTCTCAGCTTGAGTTTAAAACCAAACCTAAACCTTTCTTCATGGCTAGTCATGCCTTCAGCTCAGCTATAGAAGTTACCCCATTATCACTTAAAGAGCTAAAAGCACATAGACAATTTAACTTTTTTGTGTGTGTGTGTTCTGTATCTTCCACTCATTCCATCCTCCCCCAGATATTTTCAGTGCAACTCAGCAACTTTCAGCTACTCAAATGCAGCCCTGCAGTATTTTTGGCAGAAACTAAGATTTTTTGTCATGGTAGATTGATATAAGTTTAAAAAATACAAAGGCTGTTCTGATTTATTATGCATCACTGCTAATTGCATTTCAAAATTAAAACATTTTATCAGTCTGATCCAACCTTATAAAGAAATCATAACAAGGCAGTGTAGTATTACAAATTTATTGAGTTTCGTCAAAGTAGTTTTTTCAGCGTTGAAAATTTCACACATATAAAACAACTTCTATGCATTAAAACCAAAGTATGGATTCTTTTTTTAATTTAAAGCAAGTGCTGTGCTTTTTTAAATATCTCACGAACCAAATTCTTCAGTTATAAAGCTGATAAAAATAATTGATACACCACTAAAGTTTTTTCTTCAACATGTGAAATTCATCTCTTTGGGAAACAATACTTTTTAAAATTGTATCATGAAAGATACAGACCTGAAAAAGGATAAACAATCATACACAAGGCATAAACGTTACACAGAGTAACTCAGACATTTTATAAAGAGACCTGGAAAAGTACCTAAAATAGTGATATTTATTTAGTATAAAATTTCAATAATAAAATATTGCTCATAATAAATAAGAAAACATGAGTTTCATTAATACTGTTCTCCCCTTAAAGCTCTCTTGGATGTAACAGGATCAGACCTGATCAAAAGACAAATTTTTGTTTTGTCCTCCGTATGAAGGAGGCAGGTTTACAGGCTTCAGGTCATTCTTTGCTAGAAACAATTTTATCATAAACAAAACACATAATTCATTTCAAGGCTCATGCGTAGTTATGGGAAAAAATTAATAATCCCCAAATGTGAATAAACCTTATTACCGCAGATTTTAATACCCAAAATATTTGCCTTTTTTGTTAAACCCAAAATGGAATAAGACTTCCCATGGATTACGAATACAAAGAGAAAGCTGCCCAAGTTTTCTCAAAAGCTTCTAAATATGGGTGCAGCTGTACTTAATGGTTATCAATGCTGTTAGGGACAGTTTGCTCTAGGGGGGATGGAAGTTGTTTCCCTTTATATGGGGACGTTGGATTTCATCCCTGCTCTTCCCATCTGCAGACAGGGCAGTTTGGAGCAGTTCTTCAGCAGCTGCTCGATGGCGATGTGGCGCACGTTGAGCTCGGAGGCCAGGGAGTCCTTCTCCTGGACCTGCTGTGCCAGCTCTTCAAACACATCTGCAACAACAGCACTGGGTCAATGCACTTGGTCCCTGTACTGACACAGGCTTAGGAAGCAGCGACAAACAACACTGGGGAAGAGGCACAGACATTTAAGTGGGATCATGCGCAGGAGTTCTGCTTTTCCTGGTTCCAGCACAGCTTTGTATGCACTGCAAACAGAACAGCATCACTTTGTTTCTAGTTATAGACAACCTGAGCCAAGGTGGATCAGTTTAGAACTGAAAACAAAGCTTACTCTGGCCTGAATCAGCAGTGGTGTGGCAGCAGGACCAGGGCAGTGATTGTCCCCCTGTGCTGGGCACTGGTGAGGCCACATCTCAATCCTGTGTTCAGTTTTGGGTCCCTCACAGCAAGGACACGGAGGTGCTGGGGCATGTCCAGAGAAGGGCAATGGAGCTGGGGAAGAGTCTGGAGCACAAGTGTGATGAGGAGCAGCTGAGGGGGCTCAGCTTGGGGAAAAGGAGGCCCAGGGGGGACATTATCACTCTCTACAGCTGTCTGACAGGAGGGTGCAGCCAGGTGGGATCAGGCTCTTCTCCCAGGTAACAAGTGACAGGATGAGAGGAAATGGCCTCAGTTTGCACCAGTCGAATATTAGATTAGATATTAGGAAACATTTCTTCATGGAAAGGGTTGTCATGCATTGAAATAGGCTGCCCAGGCAAGTGGTGGAGTCACCATCCCTGAGGCATTTAACAGACATGGAGATGCGGCATTTAGGAACCACTTGGCTTTGTGGGGGCCTTAGCAGTGCTGGGTTAATGGCTGCAATTGATGATCTTAAGGGTCATTTTCAATGAGCCTTAACAATTCTATGGTTCTAGTCAAATTCTTAAAGAGAATACTGTGCCAATTTGCAGCACCAAAGCAGATTATGTAATGAAAGCACCTAGAAATCTCTCTATATCACACATTTCCATGCAAAACAAGAGACATCAGTTAAAAACTTAACTGACAGAAAGGTAATCAAAAATTCTTTTTTAAAACCAGACCTTTTTTTATGACAAAGCACCACAAACCCAAAACAAAGAGTATTGAAAAATTCTCACCCTGGATTTGCTTGAGCAGTTTTTCATTAAGTTGCTTTAACTCTCCTAGAGTCATTGTAGTCACTGCAACAATAAAATCTGTTATTACTACTACCGAAGTCACATAAGCATCCCTAAGCAGACTCTGACTTTCTCAAGATCTCTCCTATTTGAATCCTAATAATCAAGAGATGCGTGGCAGTAAGTCAGAGACAACAGTACTTATCAGTGATTTGGGGAAAGTTTGAAAATTCTCTTTTTAATGTTGACACAGACAAGGATTTACTCCATTAGAAAACCTCTCCAATGTCAAAGCCCTAAAAACAGTAGCATCCAGAGTCAGAACAGCTTGGCACATTTAAATACTATACCCTCCCCTGACTGTAAAACATGATTTCCCCAGTGTAACCCATGAAAGCACAGCTGTTTAATTGTGGACAATTAAAAGGGGACAATTCTGAGGTAAGTCCTGCTATGTTTCCCAGCCTGCAAGAAGCAACTTCCTGACAGAATTTTTAGCATGTGGCTCCCTTTTTTGGTTATCAAGGTTTGTGCTTTATGCATACAGGAATAACCTGCACAGTTTGCACTGAGTATCTCAGTGACAAATGATGAAGGACAATCCTGGCTTGATATGAAGACCAGCATATAAAAAGAGGTTTCCTTCTGTGCTCCTGGTGAGAACTATAAGATCCTCTGTATCATTCAAAAGCCCTTCTGGATCTCAGGTTCTGCGCATTGATCACCCTCACAGAAAATACACATTAAGCCTCAGAGGAGGGAACTGCGAAAGCGTTCTTCACTGCCCTTGATCAACAGCAGGGAAGCACTGGCCTGCTTCCTAGGATTCCCTCAACCCAGCAGTGGACACACATAGTGCCATGGCTGCTGCTGAGATGCCCTTGTCACCATGGTGAAAAGCGACAATCTGAACACCACAGGGGGTACTGGGCAACCACAGGGGGTACTGGGCACTGGCACAGCCTTTTAGACCTTGCAACTCTAAAATACTGTTCTTAAACTTCAGCAAAGCTGTTTCTGCTGCAGCTTAGCAAAGCTCTCATTGCATACTTGAGAGAAAAAATGATGCTGCAGCTTTTTTCCAAAGATTTCTCTGTGCAAAAGGCTTCTACATGGCAAATTTGAAGTCCTGAATTCTGAAAAAGATGGGTTTTAGCTACCCACTGGATTATTTGATTATCCTAAGCTTTCTCTTTCAAAGTTTCTCACAGCTGGCAGTTGTGGGATGTTAAACTGCTGACAGTACTGCCAAACCAAAGAAGCTGGCAACAGCTAAGACCTGGTACTCGAGACATAATCCCAGCTAAGAATAAAACAGATTCACCTTTCTCCTCCATCAATCAGGTAAAATGGTGCTCCTTCCTACCTTCAGCTATCAATAAACCTGAAAAAACCCTTCTCACCCTTTAAGCACCATAAAAACCCTGACCAAATTTAATATAGTAACTAACAACTAAAAATGTCAAGATTTCCCCCCTTTTATACCCAGTGGTAGTATTCTTCAGTATTTTCATTAACATTTTGTCATCTGGCAGACAGACTGATTCACATGTTTCATGTGAGTGTTTTGGGACAGGACTGTTTCATGGCACATTATTCTGATAGAGAAGGGAAAGGGAGAAGGAACAGAGTACTGAATTTAAATGGTAAAATACTATTCGATCCACAGCTGAGGCAAACTGAAAAAATACTGGCCAAGCTATTTACATTTCCATTAATACTTTTTTCAGTAAACAGCTATGTTGTTAAGACTGAAAGTATTCCAATAAGAAGGTACCTAATTCTGGCAGTCTAAGTTTACATGTAACATACAAACTTAATCATAGAGCCTCCAAATGAATGTCTTTTAAAGGTAAATACTGCAAGATACAAGCAAATGCCTCAAAGCTGTATTATGTAGTCAGAAGAAAAAACCTGCTATTGTGCTCAATGCAGGTTTAGGTCTGCATCCTGAAATCAAAGACTGGACATAAATTCCAAGTCACTAACTTCAGTTAGACAACCCCATAAACCGGGTCAAGCTTCCCTAATTCCTTTGTCATATGCTGTCCTGATTTATGTAATCCCAATTTATGACTCCAGTGGACAGGTGGTCAAACAGCCCAGTGTAGTATCTGCTGTGATTTATGGCTTTAAGGCTACTAATTCACTACAAATGCAACATGACACATCATGCAGCAGATAAGTAAAATCCTTTCATAAAGAATGAGAAATGACTCAGCTTTGCAAGGACAGAGTTGTCAGTTTGTTAAAAAAAAGCGAGGCTAAAGAAGCCAATTCCAACTTTTTACAGTATCTCTGACTCTTCTGACATTCTGATTCCATTATGACCTTGTTTTTCATCATCTGTTTTTCCCTGGAATATGTTATCAGTGCTTTTGTTTTTTTTCTCAGGTCTTTTGAAATTCAGAAACCCTCTCCAATTACTTTCCTCATCTACGAATGTAAGAGTGGACATACACCAGTTCAGGACCAAGTGCTGCCTAAAAAGCATGATGGTAACAGCACATACCTCTAGGAAACTATTCCTAACACATTTAATGCAGCCTGATTCCAGAGACACTAAAATATCCTAGCTTTTTCTAAAGATTTCTTCTAGTGGTCTTCTTAACAGGGAAACTAATTTTCTGTTATTTTCAGCATCACCACAGTCATCAAAAGATAGTTCAGGTCTTCTGCTACAGCCTTTAGGAGGACATGGTGGCACAAGGGCCTTCCCAGTTTCTTATGCTCAACAAACACAAGGAAAAAACAAATCCAGTAAAATGCACTGGAAAGTCTGTACTATTATTTCACAAGTTTGTTCTACTACATGACCTCTAATTTCCTCTGCTGTTTAGGGCAGGTCTCCGTGAAATGTAATTCAGGGCACTGTGCAAGTTCACTAAGAGAGAGATTTGCAGGAGCTGAGTAACCTCCACCTCCACAGCCAGGGCTGTGCAACTCGCAGGAATGACATACAGAAATTAAATTTTTTGCATAAATTAGACATGTCCTGTATCACACTGGGCTACAGCTATGAGTAAAAAAAACAAAACAAACCAAAACAGAACAAAACACCAGCCAAAGCACCCTATTTGCTCAGCCAGGTAGCTCTTTTTTCCCCACAGATTTTGTATCCTGGACTTCAGGATGAGAACTAATGCTCTGTGAAGACACAAAATGGTCAATAGGTATTTGAAAGAATGTCCTTGCTTGCTAGGCTGTGTGTAAATGGATGTATACTCACGTTCCTCCCTGCTGTGCTGAGGATGTCTCCTGTGAACACTGGCAAGTGAATCACCTTCAGCTTTTTCAGCTTTCTGGACCTGGCTGCGGTTGGACCACAAAACGCTGCTGCAACAGAAGGTAGCACCGAGTCTGAAATCAGTGGATTCTCTTGGTTCCAGCAGAGTCTGTGAGCAGCTTGAAATGCCTCCAGATTTCCCATCTATCCATTTTGCAGAGTATCTGGGTACTGGGGAGTCAAACTGTGGGAGTAATTTTCTATCAGTCTGATGTCTGAAGCTAAAAAGCTGGTGTTGGGATGGTTTTGAGCTTTCAGAATCAGAGTCTAAATCCTTGTTTTGTGCGTATTGTATGATCCAGTTAATTTTTTTGCTCAAGATATTTTTTACTTCTGCATAAGGACTTTTAGAGAGCTTTGATCGTGGACAGTCCTGATTTGCTATTAAGTGGAATTTTTCAAAGCAGTCTCTGTGCCCCCTCAAAGATCTTGTATGTAGAAGATCTGACTTTGGTACTCCTGTAAAGACATAACAGAAAGAAGTTCATTTACTGTTAGTTTTTTAATATCTTTACTCACAAGCAACCAAGAAAACAAAAACTTTAGTGATGCTTTCCTACTAACAGTCTTACCACTGAAGTAAACAAGGGTACCTCACAGTGCAAAATTTGTGAAGTTTCCCTCAGGCTTGAGTCCTTGTCACACAAAGTGTTTTGCACACCATGATCTCTGGAGCAGGACTTCAGTGTGTGCCTCTTGCACGGTGACAGAGATGAAGCAAACTGACAACTCCACACATGCTGCATGCCCCCTACACACAAGTGTATAAGCTGCAGAAGTAAAATAAACCCAACTGTGTACCAGCAAGTTCTATAGAACGATCCTGAAGAGCAGTCTGACAGCACTCATACCAGCTCCCATCTTCTACGCATAATGTTATGAGCCATCTGCTCAAATACTGCAGGGTGCAGCCTTGTCTCATTCAAGTGTTCAAACATAGCTCAGATTTCAGTCATAGTTTATTATTTTGCACTGGTACAAGCCTGCAGCCTAGCTAGGGAAGCAAGCTCTATTAAACAACTGCCCAACATTAAACTGTCCTGAAATTCATTTGAGGTGTGCTGGTTTTGGCTGGGATAGAGTTCATTTTTATCACAGTGTAATATGAGGCTGTTTTGGATTTGTGCTGTAGTGTTTTCATTATCACTGAGCAGGGCTTACACAGTCAAGGCCGTCTCTGCCTCTCTCACCACCCTGACAGCGAGTGGGCTGGGGGCACGTAAGGAGCTGCGAAAGGACACAGGTGGAACAGCTGATCCCAACTGACCCAAGGGATATTCCACACCATATGGCATCATGCTCAGTGTGTAAAGCTGGGGGAAGAAGCTGGAAGGGAGGAATGTTTGGAGTGATGGCGTCTGTCATCCTAAGTCACCGTTATGCATGACAGAGCCCTGCTCTCCTGGGGATGGCTGAACACCTGCCCAACCATGGGAAACAGTGAATGAATTCCTTATTTTGCTTTGCTTGTACGGGCAGCTTTTGCTCTCCCTTTGAAACTGTCTTTGTCTCAACCCACAAACTGAAATTCTCTCCCCATCCCACTGGGGTTAAACCATGACATCACACAAGATGGATGTTTATTCTCCTCTTTGCTCATCCTCCCTCAAAGACTGTTCAAATAGCTACAGCAGGTAACTTAAACCTCTAAGTAACTGCTAGTGATTGACAGGTTAAAAAGGAACACAATCTGTGAAGATCTGCAGTTGGTGAGTGAACACAGATGGTATGAGAAATGACTATTCCAGAAAGTTAATAGTGCCCCAGTACAAAACGACTTTCTGCAACTTCAGTGGATATTTATTTTTCTTCACATACACAGTAGATTTAGAACCAAGTCCAGAATAATAAACAGTTTGTCATTTATCTCAGTACCCCATGTATTACTTGGGAGGGTCTCAATACAATGAAAACCAATTCTGTCTAACAAGTTTGTCACTGCAAACAACAATAACATGCCTGTGAATCAGAGGTTGAAAGTGCTTAATGCCGAAGTATTTAAAACACCAAACAATGTAACTGGATCTCAATCTAGGCAACATGAACCAAACTGCAGCAATCCTATCTTTAAGCCATAAAAAGTGATTAAAGGAAAAGAAAAACCATGAAATGCAACAGATAACAAAATCTGGTAACAGAGACATTTACAGACGATTAGAACAAAGCTACATGTTACAACAAGTCTCAGTTCTAGTTGATTTACGCTCCTAAATTCTTCTGGTAAAGTGTAATCTCCCCATCCCATACGATTAAAAAGTGATACAGTGTTTTTGTTAAATTATTGAATCCCACAAGATCCCACACTACTCTCAAAACTAATCTGAAAAGGTAAAATTTTATTTTCTGGCTGAGTTTCTGAGAGTGCACACAATTTATGGGGCAAAAATGTCTAAAAAACTGGAAAATAAAAGAAAACAGCAGTGGAATTAATTTTGTTCTTAGCACCAAGGGAAAAAGGTAAAGTCATGAAAACAGATGTTCCTTCTGTTCATGAGGTAGCTATCAGAAGAAACGAAACTCACATACTAACCAGAGGCAACTTTTAAGAAGGAAGCTCTGGAGTAAAGTACATTCTTTACTCCAGAAGTAAGAGTTAGGGGGCACAGAGTGCCCCCTTTCAGTGGGCAGTCAATATTCTCACTCCACACCTCAAAATACTTTTCAACCTTTCAGCAAATGAATACTCACCAACTTATCTTAAACTCTGCATTATCTGCTGCCTACTTGCAATGCTATTTTACCTCTCTGTCTTTACAGACACTTAAAAAAACCCAACAAATGTTTCTACTGAAAGCAAGAAAGGCAAGTAATTTGTTTTCATGACTTATCAGCGCCATTTAAATAGAGCAAGCCTGCTTAACTCAAGTAGCATGATGGAAACCTTAAGTCTTTAAGCCATCAAGGGAAAGCAAACACTGTCAAGTGAAATTATAAGGCAAATATATTCACAACACTACAAACCCTAGAAAACTAGAGTGATTTGTTAAGTGTTACTTGCCTTACCCAAGTAATTCTTCAACATTCTACTTTGCTGCTGCTCATAGTGCTTTCCTTTACTTAAAGAAAAGAATCAATGGGCTGAAAAACATGTTTTGCACAATTTTCCATACAATAATGCTCAGGAACCCACCTAACAAACACACCCGCACAACAAATGACAGAATGCTTAAAAAAAGAAACTCCTTTGAGGCTGCTTCATTATTTCAATGAGAATAAATGCTACTTGTCCAGTAGGGGAGGAGCACGAGACCACACAAAATAGCCAACACACAAATTGTTAGACAAAGAAAGAACGCGAGCAGCATGACCTCATGAAGCCCCAACTGAATTATGTCCGAGTCTTAAGCTCAAGGTTATTTAAGTCTTTCCTTCTGATGAATTTATCTTTTAAGAGTTCTGAACATTGCTAACATTGCCCATTTTAAAGGCATGCTGCTCAAAGAGATCTATTTTATCTGAACTCAGTAATAGAGTGCCTGAAATGAGCAATTATTACAGAAGAAAAAAACCCCATGCTACTTCAAGAGTTTAAGCTTTGCTATTTATATGCCACACATTAGCCAAAATGTCCCTCTTTCTGAGCTCGGGCAGGTTATTACAAAACACTTCCAGTATACAAGATCAGAATTTACATCCTACCCCTTCTCTACTCCACTACAAAACCTCCAAAGGGGTCCTATCTAAGCAATCTTGAATAAAGTAAGGAACTGAAAATATGCAAATCCAAACTAGTTTTGCAGAGAACTGCTAACATACCTGCTTCAGCTTTCATATAACTAGCATGGATTTTTACTGTAACAATCACACACAAAACTAAAACAACCATCAATCTCTCTTTTGTCCTAAGGTGACAATTAGTCCTTTCCTATGCAGAGAACATCAGCCACAACCTTCTGGAAGAGCTGAGCAGGGACCGCAGCTGCTGCGCCAGCACAAACTAACAACCACACACCAGAATTACAGCAAGCTAGGATATGGTTCTTTGGAACAAATCCTTCTGTTGGGGGCAATACCATCAGCCTTATGAGGCAGAAAATACGTCCACTTCTTTTTGGGAAGATTTCATACTCTACTCAGACTACTTCATATTTTTTCCCTTCATCACAACTGCAGAAAAAGCTACAATCTGGTGAGCTGGCATGGACCAAGTGATATATAAAAATTATTCAGTTTTATTGCTTTATTCAACACTATATATCAACAGATGAATAAAGCACGGCAAGATTTCTGTACAAAACAAGAAGCAATACTGTAGTTTTGATAAACAGCTATTGTGAGTTTCGGGGACTTTCACCAGGTTTCGGTTCTGTCTCCACATTTCTGTTTGCTAATATCAACCTCAATCTTTCTTACTTTTTGTCTGGTTCTTCAAGTCTGCAATCATAAAACCATCAACTTACCCCCCTACTCCCCCATTTGCAGGTGTGTACATTTGCGCCTTGTCTTACTTTCCAAGAACAGGATTGCAGACTCTGTCCAAGTACGCCCTAAGCTTCAAATTTACTTTTTCAGAGAAGGGGAAAAAGCCCCCAAAAAGCAACAAAAATACCCCACCCAACAACCACACCGAGAAGAAAAGTTTAATCTGCAGGGGAAAAAAAAATCCCACAAAATTCACTAATATCTAAAGACCATATCTAACAAATTTAAGACAGCACAGATGCTATTAAGAAACAAGCTCATGCCAGAGATCATTCCTCAAGTGCACATGATTCACAGGCTGATGCCAAACCTCCAGACAAATCATAAAACAACATAACTGCTTACAATCCATTATTTGTTTCTGATTCTAGCAACTCATGTGTCCTAGATGAAATATGAACGTATCACTCAACAATATCTTTGCATATTGACTCGAAGAACAGGACTGCCTACATAAGTACCTAATGCTTAGGCAAAAAAAAACCAAACCCTCAACCCAAACCCTGACTTTCAATTCATAAGCTATGCCAGGCAGCCTGTCAACATGACTCTTAATCCACTCCTACAAAGTAATTTTCTAAATGCATGACTAGCAATCAGGCAGTTTAACACACATTTTTGTAACTTCTATTTATCCAAAACTGTAAAGTAGCTGAGAGCAGGGAAAATATTTACAAGATAATCAGGTGAGCAATCACATCTCAACAAATTCTACCCCATTTTAAGGCATTTGTACTTGAAAGTTTCCATCATATTAAATTTTTTTACTTTCTGGCTTTTTTGAGGGTAAGAAACCTACAAGGACTATTTCTGCCTTTGCAACTGATTCACTGAGAACTATGTATAACTCTTCTTCATTATAAAGACACAGAACTAAAAGTGAAATGGTTGCTTATGTTTATATAAAGCTGGCTAGAAGAGTTATCCTATCTGGAGATTAGAATAGCAATCAACAAGTCCCATTTAAAAGGAATATTCTTGAATACCAAGGTAATTCCACATCCCTTCACAAATGTTTCCATAGAAAAAAAATAAAT